AAAAAGTACACTCGATGCTTAATATACAGCAATCCTAGTGAGCGATTTCCTCAATTTTTCACTGATGTGAATTATTATTAGGAAGTAACTGTTATTTGTTCTTATTAATATTATATTTGTTTAGTTGTATCATTGATTAAACAAATGTATTATGTGTGCATCTGTTGGATGTCGGTATACATTGGTATGTTTTTCTTTAATGCTTGAATCTACACATAATAAACAAAAATAATATTTACACTGAAATGTATAGTATTTTGTGTCTTTGTTTTACCACAATTGAATATACTAAATCTAAAATAATTATAATTTAAGGTCAATGGTTTGACATATTTTACATTGTGAAGATTAATTAATTTGAATTCAAATTAAATTATTTTGAAAGGTAGGTTAACATGGGTACTTTCTATTGTAATATTTTACATATTTCATACCATATTGATTATGCGTAATGTATATGTAACGAAGTTACCGAGACCTCGTTAATATAAACAGAACTACACCGAGGGGTGCGACCCCCAGGTGAAGAGGAGACGTTACATATACAACACCTAGGTTAATAGTAATACCAAACATACCTAACTCATAAGAACAGTTATTATAATATAATATAACAAAAATGTTATTGATATTTAATAATTAAAATTATAATAATTTTGACAAATATAACAGGTACATTTCAGCATTCACTTTAAATGAGGTGTATTTAATGATACTTGGTCTACTGTTGATTGGTATTTAATCAATATGCAACATAATGCCCATCCGTCTGTCTTAGATCACCTTTTTCTGGACCATAAAATGCAATTACACCATACCAATTGTAATTAACATAATGTATCATGATTTGATTATTGGAATAAAGTTTCCATGACATTTTTCCTGCATAGTTCTGTTTTATATTACTAGTTGGCTGTGTGTTGTTGAAACTGCTTGAAGATCTAAGAACTAAAAAGTGTCATAAAAAATTAAATGTTACCTACCTAAATGAAATCATAATTTTTTTAATTATCAACTCTACCCTAACAAGTATTAATATTTAATATTAATCGCCAATAGGTACAAACATTTCCTAACATCTATATTTTAGTTATTATTATTATGTCACAAATAATATTCACCTCGAGGTATTGACAATAGTTCTATAATAATATGCTCATTCGGTTTCATAAATACTTAACTTTAACTACAAACACTTATTTTCATTAATTCTGCTTGGAATAAGTGATGTAAACTATTGCTTCAGAATTATGGATTGGGGATCATATGGAAAAAAGAGTGACTGTAATATTTTATGTAAACAGTCATGGTTTGGAAAAAATAAGTGTTGGAAAAATGAACTTTCCCCTCATACTTCTTTTCCTGGGATGGAGATGGTTTACCTTAAGTGATGACTGATGAGGTATTTGCCTTATAAAAACATTTGTTCTGGCCATATCCAGAAAAAAAGCTTGATCGATGAGAGGAGGATTTTTAATTACTGGCTGTTCAGAGCTAGAAGGTATATTTGGAATCCTTTCAAATAAATTTAGAGTGTTTCATACAACAATTTTGGCTTCCCCAGATTTTGCAATTTAGATTACTAAAGCAGTAGGTATGTATTTGTACATGTACACACTACCTATTAGATAGTTGACTACCCATAAACTATATAGTTAACTAATTAGGTAAATAATGAATTAATGAATTATTATATTTCAATTATTATATTACATACTTACCTGCACAATCAAGCAAACAACTATTTTCATTAAATGTACAAAAACATTTCACAACCTTTACACATTATAATGTTATTATACATATTAAAAGTAAAAGTAGGTATTGAGTTTTTTTGCTGCACATAGTTATGTTAAAGAAAATGTACTTATTAAGAAGTGTTTATTGATTTGCCAATTTGTAGATCATAGGTCTCAAACTCAAATTTAACTATAAAATGAGTAATGGCAGAAGAGAATATAATAGACAAATTTTAATATTATTTATGTAGGTACCTTAAATTTGTTTAAGTACTAAAGTACCTATACTCTATAGTCTATAGGTACTATTTTGTTTAATTAATACATATTTTAATTTTAATAAGTTATTTTTTTTATAAATTTAAATTTATATTATTTTTTTTTTTAATATTTATTTATTTATTTAGTTTTATTATTTCTAAATTAGTATATTTTTCATATTATTATATTTTTAATAATATTTTAATATTTTAATTTGTTAATTGAATACAAATAACAACATCTAATAACAAAGAAACGATAAATTATTATTAAATAATCAAAAAATAGTTTTTAAATATTAAAAGAATAAAGAAACATCTTTTTAATCTATTTTTTACTTTTATATCTATTTTTAATAAAAAAAGCATTGAATTAAAGTTGAATAAAAAAATCTATAGTAAAAAATATAATTTTAATAAAAAAGCATATTTGAATAAAAAAAATCTAATAATATAATTTTAATAAAAAAATTTTAGTTGAATAAATGTAGGTTTCTCTTGATGTTTATTTAATTTAATAAATAATATACCTACCTGAATGACATACAACTTTAGCCATATAATTTTCTAGCTCACTTTTTTTCTACTGAATTCTATTAAAAATTGAAGTTATTTTTTGTGTCTTAAATTGCATAGATGGTGTTCTTGAAGTTCTGATTGAATAACATAGAAATTTAAAGTAGAAACCACAATATAAAGCGTATGGTCTGTGTTAAAATACTAAAACATGAATTAAAAAATTAGAAGAATAAGAAATTACAGATATATTACAGTAAAGTTTAAGTTTGACCTAGATTACAAAAATATAGTATAAAAACATTTTATTAAATAAGTAGGTACTAAGTATTCCTAATAATATGATTATGTTCTAGTAGGTAATTATAATAAATTACCAATCATTCACCTATTGATAGTAAATAGTTCTGAAATTATGATTAATAAATTATTTACCAAACGTTTAGGTACACCTGAGTATTTCTGGATTGTTTTCACTTTTAAGTGAAAAGTGATATATATATAAGTACCTATATAGTCTGTTAAGTTTATTGTAGTCATCAAAATGTTTGTGATATGTAAATGAAAATGATGAATATATTATTTAATATATTATTATACATTTGGTAACAGTGAGTCAAATTCATGAAAAAGGCTAATATTGTTATTTTCTACTTGGGTGGGGTTGGAGAAACGTTTCCCGGGCTCCGCCCGTGGAAAATTTAATTTTCAGCGTGAACCGTTGCCGTACAAATTTCGGAAACGGTCGTACAAATTCATGAGGAATCACTTGTTAAATATTGGCGTAGAAAAGTTTGGAAAATTAATAATGGGTGGGGCTGAGGAAATGTACGTGCCATTAGTTTTCTACAAAACTTCCTGTTTTCTAATCTATAGTATTTATTGGAATATAATACTAGATCAGTGTTTCTTAAACTTGTTATGTCCACTTATATCGTGGAACCCTTACAGGCTACTTTTTTTTTAGTTTGTTTTCAACAATATAGCTTATTATTATTGCAGCTTGACAATTATTAGAACTATTACTTCGTTTCAATAGTCATTTTAAGAAAGGACAACAGACAAACAATACTTCTGTATTTTAATTTTAATAAGAGTATTGAGGAACCCCAGGGTTTCGTGGAACACAGTTTCAGAAACGCTGTACTAGACAATTCCATAGAATATAGGTAATATATTAATTTTGGTATTTTAAACATATCTAGTTTTTATTTTACAAATTTTCAACTGTATCTCAAGTAATGAGTAATACATTCGTGCCCTGGCGTCCTGCTGGTGCATCGAGTGAGTAATAGGATAGAAATCGCACTAACACTTGTTATGACATAGCAGAGTTTCAGTATCGTAATAACATGTTATTACCTACTTATTTATCACCTTTTTCCTGATTTTATTTTTACTTTTTTTACGAAACTGAAAAATACATTAATATAGTAAATACTAAACACGATTTAACGTGTAATATAAGTATAATATAACATAATAAAATATAATATATACTTATTTTTTAAAATAATACCAAAAAAAGAAAAGGAAGCTTGGGTTGTTCCGGAGAAACGTTGCCCCCGCCCCGTCCATGGAATATTGAATTTTCCTTTCGAACCGTTACCGTACAAATTTCGGAAACGGTCGTACAAATTCATGCGAATCATGTGCTAAATAATGGCGTAGAAAAGTTTGGAAAATTAAAAATGGATGGGGCTGAGGAAATGTACGTACTTCACAGACATTATTAATTTCATCGTGCAGTGATAACTCGGAGTTGCAGCATATTAGGTATCTAAAATTGCCAACTACGTGACATTTACATTGCGGCCAATATATTCACAGATTTCACCTCCACCACGTTACTTATCATAACAGGAGTCGCGGCAATCAGTTCATCTGTCATCAATGGTACAACAAATTCGTTACCAACTTGTATTGAGCAACACAATTATATTACCAAAACAACTTGAAATAGTCGTTTAGTGATAGGAGCATATATTTTACTCATTTTAGTAGAGGAAATTCTTTAGCGGCAAACTTAAACGTTTGATAACGGCGAAATTCGGAACGTCCGTTTGCTAAACGAAGGTGTAAACGTTTGGAAACATTGTAAACGCCCCAATCCTGCGTTTGGTCTGTTTAGTTCTAGTAACCAGCACCGTGTTTATACTTTTGCCGATCGTTATCACTATCATTACCACTATCACGACTTATCACGATTTACTTTTTATGTCATACACCACCACCGCTGTTTAACAAAATACCAAGAGCTGACTAATTCTACCTCTTCACGTTCAAACGTCGGCGTTTGTTCCGCAAAATTCTTGCCTCTCCAGAATTTCCTCTACGAATTAAGATATAACGATATATATTATATTAAGATATGAGTATATCCTAATTTGTGGTTAGACAGAAAACGGTTTTGACATTAAATTATCGCCGATATTGTTTTTATTAAATTGTTTGGTATCGTTCACAAGCGGAAACGCGCTTAACAATGGCGTCCATGAACGGAGATGTAAGTATTAACACGAATTCGTGTAGAGCGTGGACAAAAACAATAACACAAGTTCCAACGTGTCGTAATGACGGTGCCCCACACCCGACACCTATCGAACCCGTTGTCCCGTCTGTTGCTCACCTGTCTCGACGTGTGGTCAAGCGAGACGTGTTGTGCTGTTGTCCTCTGTGTTGCTGTTGTTCCTGGCATCGTGTTCGAGCACGGATTTTCGGTCTTAAAATATTGTTTTTCAAGGCGTCAACTCCATTATGGTTCGCCAACGTGTTTTTTTTTCATTGTTACGGAGCGATTGTTCTTTTCACAAATACCTACCTACCTAACTCGTTAACCGTTTCGTTAAAAAATCGAGATTTTCGAAACAGCATCAGTGCTGGCGCTGTGTACCCCGTTACCCATGCACCGTCTTGTCCTGTTACCGAATCGTAGCTTGTTGTGACGATACGAGAAATATACCATCGGTGCTGTGTGTTATATTGATTATAATAATATGTATGTTCCATACAACTATTTACCAAGGCTGGGCATTAACGAGTTAATAAGTTAAAGTTAAGTTAAAAAGTTAAGTTACTTTTAACTAAGTTAATTAACGTGTTACTTTTTTTTTTCAGAAGTGCCTTATAACTTAACGATTTACATTTGTCCCCATGTTATTCAGTAACTTAAGGAGTTAATTAATTTTATTGGCACGTTAAGTTAATTTTTTCCCAAACCACATATTTAAAATTAATTATATAAAAAGAAACAAATATTAAATATATTTTATTAAATAATAATTTATAATAGTAGTAAGTTATTATATTGCATATTCACAGAAAATATTTTATAACTATATTATAGAGGGAAATGTCATAGGGGTAACTGTGTCATTAATAAAAGAAAAATATAACAATTTACTCAGTACTTATCCCATACACGACATATCACCTAACCTATACCTAATCATTATTAATATCATTACTTATTATTATATTTTTATTCATTCATAGAATTACAGCGATAACTTGACCCGTCAATGTAAATAATACCCGTAGTAGCGTGATATTTACTATTTACCTAATTAAAGTATAATACACAAAATTAATATAATTACCTACAGTAACTAATTTTATTACAAATATTTATTCAAATATTGTAAGACATTTTTTGATTTATAATAATGTTATTTGTTAGCTTTAAAATAGTTAGGTAGGTATAATTGTTAATTTTATTTAAAAAAAAAAGTAACTTATTTTTAACTAAGTTAAGTTACTTTTTTTTCTAATTAACTTGTAACTTTTACAAGTTAAAAAAAAAATGAAATTAACTTTTAACTTTAAACTTAACTTACATTTTTCTATATTAACTTAACTTAACGAGTTAAAATAAATAGTTAACTTGCCCAGCCTTGCTATTTACCACCACCATCATTGACACATCTCAACCCTGTCAAAACAACTATTACCGTTAACATTGATTATTTTTGACACAATAAGGGCCAAAATATATGACTCCTGATGAGGTGGCATGACACCAGGATCTAATGTTTGACCATCTAGATTTTATTAGTTCATAATCCTGTGATTCATACTAATCAACTGGGTCATGTTGCCTTGATATTATGTATATATTGTTCAACATTCGTGGAGTCTATTCAAAATTAGAACATTTTATTATGAACTAATTTGATACAAATTTTAATTTTAATAATTTTTCTGTGATCAATATTAAAATAAAAAATATCATGTATTTCAGGATGCTCCTGAAGAATGTTTATTTCTTAGGGTACAAGCAGAGAATAACAGTACTCTCAAAGGTATAAAAAATATCCTATTTAAAATTCGAAAAAATTCAACGCTAATAAATCTGATGGAAGCCTATTGTGAAAGATCTGTAAGTATAAAATATTAAAAACTATTTTATTGTAATAATTGTAACCTTTATTATTTCAGTTACTGATTTTTAGACTAAATTACCATGTATTTAATGTATTCATAATGTATTTAATAGCATTTATTTGCCTCGAATAAATTGTGCAAATTTACTATTTGACTCTTTGCTAATTGACTATCTGCAGGCAAAATTATGAGCATGTGATGACTAATCTGATTATCAGGTTTATGTGCTTACTCTTAAAAATATGCTCTTAAATATTTTTTTTTTTTTTTTTTTAAGTATAAACCAATCAATGATCTTTAACAATACATTTAAGAAGTGTACATATATATTAAATATTAATAAATTAATGAATAAATATTTTGTAAATATATACAACAAACATATTTGGGTTATCACTCCCAGCCTCAGTCTAATAATTTATACTAAGTCATATGGTCTCGGTGAATAATGTATAATGTCATTTTTATCTTACCGGTATGCTGCGACAATAGTACGGAGAGCAATGTTTTGACAACGTTGGATAATCTCAATATTGGACTTACTGGCACAGCCCATCATGCCCTTAAATATGCATTTAATTTTACTTAAAAAGAAGTACTTATACAAATTTTATTTAAAGCAAATTATCTCTTACATACTATATACTAAAAATTTATATTTTATACATACTATATAATTAAAAATAAAAAAAAGGCCAAACTGTTGAAAGGGATGTCTTTGGATTTTTTTAACTCTCATGATCTTCTATACCTAGCAGTTAAAATTTTTATGTATTAAAAAAAAAAATCATTTTCTAATTCTAATTATGCACTTTCTTGCACTACACTGGATTATTAAATGTTTCTTTATGTTCTCGAATTTGAAATACCTTCTATTATTTGTAAGAAAAGTTTTATAGGCGGAAAATGATTTTTCTACGTTTACCGATGTGATGGGAGAATATTTAAACTATGTCAGATCATTAATATCTAAGTTTTCTGATAAGTCTTCCACGTCAATTAATTCACTGTTAAGAATGTTTTTAATTTTCTTTAGCATAGCAAGACCAATATTTTTCTTCAATACATTTTCCATCTTTGTACAGATATTTTTCCCAGTTGTCCAAGTAAGATGTTTCATTTCAATACTTACATTGTCAATAATTTCGATTGAATCAGCGAAAGAAACACCTTCAGTTTGTAATTTTTTAATCGATGTAGACTAAATAATTTTTAATATGATTTGTTGACAAGTATTTTTTTGCATTTTTTATACTCAAAGCATCCTCTAAATCCAATTTATTTATAATATTAAAAATTATCTTAAAGTGTTCACAATAATATATGGCTGCAAGTCATATTGATAAAATTAATTTACTGAAAAATTGATTTACGAGTAATTCATTAAAATTTTTTTTAAATATGCATTTGTAGAAAAAAAATCCGAAAATATCCACAATAAACTTTTAAACTTTAACTCCAAACATCAAAATTCAAATTTGTACCGGATCAGATTTATTCTATTTACTTCCCGAACTAATATGCAAATGCATAAAGTCCCGAGCCTTGATGATTAGTGAATACATTTGAGATAGGTATTAAACTAACTCAGTCATTGCTACAACTGGCCGCTTGCACACTAATAATTTTTATGACCATGTTGATTACACAGAAGAATTTTATTTGTCAGTGTAAAATGTCTATTGTTTATAAATAGTGAATTTAAATAATGTTTAAATATTTTTTAATTCATTCAAAATTATAATATTTTAGGGTTTAGATGTGGGTGCAGTGAAATTTCTATTCAATAATCATACAATTACCGACCTTGATACTCCAGCATCATTGAAGATGGAAAATAATGATACTATAAAAGTCCTTTCAAAGAGAATTGGTATTATTTTTTTAAAATTGTGTTGACCGCTTATTATTTTATATAGTATTTTTTTTTTTTTTTACTTATTCTTCAAGAAGAAAATGGGCCCCACTGAACATGTTCGTGTGGAGGCCCAAAAGAAAATATAAGTTATAATAATATCTCTAATAATTATTTAATGCTACAAAACAAAAACCTTTTATAACATACAACAATGGAAATGTATTTTTTATGCATGATTCTCCACATTTACTTAAATCAGTGAGAAATAATTTAAAAAAAATATACTTTTGAAAATGCAACAAATTATATAGTTGGAGAGATAAAGAAGATATTTTGTATAATATTTATACGTCCAAATTTATTACATTTTTTAATGATTTGTTTGATGTTTTTAATAGCATACAATTAAATAAGTTAATTTTTCTTAAAATACTGTTAACTAAAAACTTTTTACATTGGGAATTTTTCAAAGAAGCTTCAATATTTTTATCAGACCATAAAGTCTGATTAATTAATTATTGTTCATACAAATTTGATTATCAATAAAAAATAATACCTATTGCTTTCATTGAAACAATATTGGTAATATAATCATAATAGTTCTCTATCCATTGTAATTGGTTTAAATACACCTGAGAATACTTTACTGTACCTATTAGGCATTCAAATTGGAAAAAAAAGTAATAATATAATATAGTATGTCTAGACGAATAGTTTCACAGATTATAATTTACACAATTATTGAATTATACCAAAAAAGTTATTACCTACTTAGATATTACTTATTATATAGGTGTCTATACCTACTATTAATATTATTCTGTGTAACTAGTAATAACTAACAATATATTACAGTATTTTACATCGTTTACAGTTGGTGTAATTTTTCTTTAAATAGTTATTTATTTTTTAATGTACTTTAACGACCATAACGATTAACTATTTAAAGTATAATTACATACTAATTGCTAGTAGTTACCAGTTATACTGGACAAGACTTAATATTAAATTTAAATAATACATTTTAGTTACATTCATGAATAGATGAAATTGATTATATCAAGGTCAGTGTTGGGTAGTAACGTAACCAAAGTAACGCCAAAGTCCTTGTTTGAATGATAGTGTATTCGTTAGAAATGATTATTATTCTCTTCCACTGTGGCATACATCCTATTAAACACAGCCCGGGCGATTGAATGCAAAAGGACTAAAAAATGTTAAATAAATTGTAGTTTTAAAAAAACAAAAAAAGGATTTTATTTAACTTATTATTATACTAAATGGTAGAAAATAAATCCTTACCTTTACCTGGTATAGTGAGTATGATGGTACTTTCACTGTTGAAGAGTGCTCAAATAATAAACCAGGCAGGCTTTACTTGCTTAATCATCTTAAACCTTTATATTAATAAAATTATTGTCTTCCATTTAATCTTGATTATTTATTTATTTAATTTTATTTATTTATTTTAAATTTGTTTAATAATTTTAGTATGCAAGTTATGTAAGCAAAGTAGTTGCCTGGAATTGCAACCCAACGATTCCAGTAACATATAATTGGAATAATGAGAACGACTGACACTGCTTGGACAAAGCCGCAATAGCTGAAGATGACAACGCCTCAATAAATTATCGATCTTGTCTGCTATGATGGCATAATAATAATAATAATAATAGTACATACATATATATTATTCTTATATTTTATTAATAACAATAAATGTATGCTTATATTCAAAAACTGCATCGTATTAATTTTTTTATTTAACCCAATTCATTAACGGTAACGTATAACCCAATAGAGGGTGACCGTCCCCCCCCTTTTTCGGTAGGTGGGATCGTGGGGATCCATGGGTACCCCAACAAATTATATATGAATTATGTTCCTAACTCCTATACTATTGTAATGTATACATATGCAGCACATATGTAAGCAGGAGTGGTGGTCCGTTTAACTTTTTACTTGCCCTTCCTTTTAAAAGGATCATCCCACCCACCATGAAAATTATATTATTGAAATGTTATTATTATAGTATTTGACAAAATGTCATACAAATACAATACCATCAAAAATAGGTATAAAATAATTTGTCTCCAAAAGAAAGCTAGGGTAGGAGACAAGGGTTATGAATTAAATTAATCTATGTATATAAAAAAGAAAAGAAATGTGATAGCTACATATTACATAAATTAAAATAAATAATCGGTAAAGTATCTTTATAGGAAGTCAAATATACACTAGTTCTATAGTCTGTTCATTTTAAGAAGCGATTCGGCGGCCACTAGTAAAACCGGTTTTCAAGCGTAAATCAGGTCGCTTCTTATTTTGAACAGGGTATATATAGGAATTAAATGGCTTATAGACTTTATAATATGCATTCAATAATATTCATCACAGAATTAATATTAAAGCACAATAATTATATAAATTACTATATTAAAAATTAGTTAATACTTATTAGTATATTAATAATGTTACTTTTTTTTTTTATTAATATTATTATTAACATAATGTGTGTACAACCATTCAATCTGGCTGGTTTTTAAATCAAAAATGTCATTGTATAAATTATAATTTTTGTCAAATACCTATGATAGTTATGAATTTTTTTATTTATTTTATACTTTGTTAACATTTGTATTTTATAAAACCAGAAAAATATATTTATTTTGAATTTTTACATTCACTTTCTTGATGGATACCTATAATAATTATTATCTACACCCGACATTGGTACAAAACTATACACTTTTTGGTGTTTTAATTTTTAAATGTCCATTTCTGTACATTTTTTTTTTTATTAAAATTGTAAACAGTATTATTGCTAACACGAGAAAAATATTTTAATTTTATCATTATTAGTTTATTATCATAATTATCTAAGTATTTTAGATTATGAGTGAAACTATGAATGTATTGATTTTACAATGATGTGTGTTTTTTTTTTATTTTTTTTTTGTGTCTGTCATCACGTTTTAGGACAGTAAAAGTGCTTGGATTTTCTTCATCAGTAGCTTTTCTGATAGGAAAGTGAATCTAGTTGGTACTTTGGGGGTCAAAAGTATAAATTTCCCAGTAGTTTTCACAAGCGCCGGGAAAAACAACATAAAATTAAGGAAAATCGGGAATATTTACGAATTGGTTTTCCAAAAAATCGATTTTGGTTTTTGGTGTAACTCTAAAACAAATGAACGTATATACATGAAATTTTCACTGGTTGTTTATATTTGCATTTTCTATACACGATAACATTTTCAAAATATTTTGATTTATTTTGAACTGTTTAGGGACATTTTCATTTTCCATTTTTTTTTAGTTTTTTTCTAAAATATCAATAAAATTTTATTTGTTGGTTGCGAAAGCTTGAAAATTTAATAGAAGGCTCCTAATATATTGTTTCAAAGGCAGATGAAAAATATTAAAAATCCTTGGTCACAATTTTCTTTTATAAGCATTTAAAGTTTAAAAATTGACAAAATATGGAAAAATCACGAAGATTAGCAAATTATTTTGAGTTAAGAATTCGTAAAAATTTTTCTTTTTAAATCTAAGATTTGAAAATGAAACACAATATTCCTTATAAGATTATCTACCTTTATCAATAAAAAAATCTCTACCGGACAGTCAAATTAAATTTTTATGAGCGTTTGAAATTCAAATTTTTACAACATTGGATATTCACTTGATTACTCATGTAGCGAATTCTTTATTTTGTTGCAATTCAAAAACGAACAACTGTAGATACATGAAAATTTCACTGAATGTTTAAATTAGCATTTTCTATACACCATACAATTTTGAAAATATTTTGACTCTTTTTGGGCTGTTTATGGACATTTACAGCTTTCAATTTTTTTTAGTTTTTTTTTCTATAAATATCAATAAAGTTTTATCTGTTGGGCCAAAAAGTGTAAAAATTTAATACAAGGCTCCTGATATATTGTTACAATATCAGTTGAAAAATATTAAAAATACATAGGCACGATTTTTTTTTATAAGCATTCAAAGTTGGAATTTTGACAAAATTTATCAAAATCTCGAAAATTATCAATCGTTGGAATTAAAAAATTATAAAATGTTCAGTTTTTATAGCTAAGGATTTTTTTATTACAAGTTCAACACAAAGGTTCTCATAAATAGTTCATACTATAACCAAAAAATCTAAAAAATATATGAACACACTTATTTTTTACAGACATTTTAAATTCAAATTTGGACGAAATTACATATTAAAAAACCTAGAATAACTATTTTAGTTATTTTGTTGTGATTGAATAATATTATTTGTGGGTACTTGAAACTTCTAAAGTGTACTATTATATATCTATTATAGTATCACGGTTTTTGTTGATGTATAACGCGTTATAAGTATCTAATGGATATTGTGATATGATTAATTTGGAATTTATTATAGGTACCTATTATAGGTCAATTTTTTGTTTAATACCATAGATAAGTACCTATATAATATGCCTTATACCTAGACTGACATACGGTCTCCATTCAGAATCGTTTTTCTTATACAATGATATTATATCATTGAATTCAAATTTAATACCATCCATTATACAGTGACCCACTTGTAACCTACTGTACAGCAGAGCGACACCCACTTGCCCACCTTTTTCCATCTGTAACTTAATAGGTAATATATTATTCACTAAAAAAACAGTTTATTCATTGCAGATACATAATATACCTACTATTATACATTAAGAAATCACATAATATTACAGGGTTGGCCACCAGTGGTGAGGCTCACCTAAGGTGGTGCACAAGAAATGTATAAGATAAATATGTAATATGGTAAAAATACTAATTTTGTTATAGTTGCTACCAAAATAATCTACCTACTTATCTAAATTAATTTTTTTTAAGCTTTTACCACATTAAAATATGAATAAATTAGAATAACTAAATAATTAGTTATTATTGAATTATCATGTATGAACATAAACACAATATCTTAGTAATTAATAGATAATGTACAGTGTTATCGTTTTGACAAATGACATGACATCAGGATACGATAAATATAGGTTCGGTGCACACATTAAATGTGCTCCAAACTACCATATATTACTAACCGACGTCTCGAGGCATGTAGCTAATATTTACACGGCTCCCCGGAGTACAAATGTACTCTGCGAATTATTTAATCGTTTATAGACACACTTCTCAACATGAGAAACTTTTTTTACAGACCATGTGCATAATAGTCAATAGGAATCTAATTATTTTTTATAATTTTCTTATTTTTTTTTATGGTTCACGTGCTCCTGTGCACCATACCACAAGCCGCTACTGGGTGCGGGGTACTTAAACTTAAGTTTCATAGCAAATTTACTAATTTTATAATTTGTTACCAATCGATTTACCTACTAAACGAATTAAGTAATTTTCTAGCGGCTTTCTAATATATATATACATTCGCTTCCTGACCCACACTCTAATACTATATACTAAAATCCTGGTTATGCCACTGGTTTTTTTATTATTTTTATGAAAATAATAGATAGGTTCGGAGGTACTTAAGTCTGTATAGACAATTTACTCTTTTTGTTACATATCGAAGTATACGAAACGAATGAAGTAATTCGCTAATGGCTTTCTAAATTTCTAATACATACATAATCTGCAGTGAGTCGTTGGTACACTAGTAGCCTCTCGTGATCCATATTCGGCGGATAGGCTGACGAGTGACCAGTTGTGATCCAAGTTGATTAACACTATCAAAACCCTAGATACGCCACTGACTATTTGTTATTAATATGAATAAAATAAGTAAGTGGGTACTTAAACTTAAGTTTGCATAGCAAATTTACTAATTTAAAATTTTATAATTTGTTACCAATCGACTTACCTACGAAACGAATGAAGTAATTTTTCTAGTTGCTTTCTAATATAGGTATACATTCCCTGCAGTGGGTCGTTGCTACACCAATGGCCTCTCGTAATCTAAGGTAACCCGCACTACTAAATCCTGGGCACGCCACTGAATTTATTTATTATTATAGTCGTGCGAGGCGATGCTTCGGTTACGTCATTATTATATTATTGGCGGCGGCGGCTTCAATGTACCGACATGTGGTGTTCCGACGAGGCATATTATTTATAATATTATTATGACGTTGTATTATGAGAGGACGTTATCCAGACAAAGGAACCGTCGCAAAATGGTCAACAGGACCGTTCCAAATGTGTTGTTCGTGAACAATATAATATAAATATATAATATAAATAATATTATCTCCAGCGATTTTATTTTATAGTTTTTTGCGAATCAGAACTCTACGTGTCTTGAAATTGTTTTAAAATCACTAAATTTATTATGTTCACGGCTCATAGGAGAGAACGTCATCACCTGTGGTACAGAGTTTAAAAAATACAATTAAATTTTTATCCAACGAAAAATTGCTTAATCTTAGGCACATACAAGATGTAACAGAATGAGCTGCTCTAAATATGGTGCTCGTGTACGAAAAATATAAATTGCTTTCTTTGGCGTTCTTTTTAACAAAAATAGTTTTGCTCGAATCAAAACCCTAAGTGTCTT